TCTATACAGATAGCTTTGGTTATTGGGATAAAATTTTGATGTATTATGGAGCTAATGTCAAATACCTGTCGCTAATAACCAATCTGTACACAGATTATTGAAACCGACCATAAAACAGTATTACCATTCGTTACGCGAATAATCGTAAATAAATAAGTGTGCGTAAAACAAATTTTTGTTTGACGCACACTCTTCTAGTGTGTTACGATGTCAAGGTCGGTGATATTTGATATTCATCTCTGATTGTTTAGCATATGTACGTAAGCGAGGCCGAATGATTTTAACTGTCGAATTAAATGACATTGTGTATGCGAACTTATTAGAAGAAAAAAAATAAAATTATTTTTTTCACACACGAATAAAGTCCCTAATACCTAACCCAGTGGTGTGTAACATCTTTGTTGGGATCTTATTACTTATGCGTAGAATTTTCTGTCTCGTGAACTATTCAAACATGAGGCAGTTATGGCTGGATATTAATAGAGTTCGTGGTTTGGGTTGATAAAAATGCTGTTTTTATAAACAACGACTGTCCTGAAGATATCTAGACTATAGGAAACAGTAGACAAGAACTGAAGAGTAGTCGAAATAGCTGGCTCTGTCAACCACGAATTTAGTGTACAGGTTCATGACACCGTTCTTCGCTCAATGAGATGGACTCACGTTTACCAGAGCGTGGCGTGGGCACGGTCGGTTTCTCCCCGATTGGCGCTTTCGTAATTCTCGCTACTTTTAATAGTTTTTTGGTCTTGCTTTCAAACTGTACCTACTGACATTGCGAATACGAGAGCTCGTATTAGTGCGCTTGTTTCTAATTCACGCTGCACGATTGTTTCGGACGACTTGCTAAGTCGTCCGAAACGCTAAAGTAAAGTAACGGAAAGCTAAAGTAAATTAAGCAGATATTTTTATCTGTCAACGGCTAAGCGCGTGTCGGACTTGCGTGGGCTCCGTACGTACGTGGGTTCCGTACCGTTACCTGAAAAACGGCAAAAAAATCATGTCTGCTGTATGGGAGCCCCACTTAAAGATTTTTAATTCTGTATTTCGTATTTGTTGTTATAGCGGCAACAGAAATACATCATCGGTGAAAATTTCAACTGTCTAACTGTCGCGGTCCATGAGGTACAGCCTGGTGACAGACGGACAGACAGACAGACAGATAGACAGTTAGTGGAGTAATAGGGTCCCGTTTTACCCTTTGGGTACGGAAGCCTAAAAAGTTTGTATTAAAGCAGATGGAGCTACTTTTAATAAAGCCCCATCTGGCTAGGTTTTAAAAAAATTGAATAAGCTTTTCAAAACAAATGCGTAACCACGGATAATAACTACATTATAAATGCGGAAGTTTATATTTTTTCCTTCTATACGCCGACAAAATTTTTTATTGTATTTAAAATTAATCGTGGATAATAATAACAATGTGGTTAATTATTATTGTGTTTACTATAAGCAATAACTTTATTCTTTGAATAAGGAGCGGAGTCACGGGCGAAGTATTTTGCCCGTAACCGGGAGAAAGTTATCAAGTTATTAAGTTTAAAACATACTTTCGTATGCGTGGTCGGTCGATTCGTGAAAGTGGCTATGTTTTGTCGTATGATAATTGGTGCACGAAGCAAAACAAACTTTTGACGAAACAAAAGATATTGGGCAACCGAATTTTGGCGGGAAATTGATTCGGCGGGAAACTAATGGCGGTATAAACTGATTGAACGCTCTTATTTTTTCGCTTTTGAAATTAGTTGTTAGCTTATCAAAATTAAATATTTATTTTACAAAATAACTAACGAAAAATACCTCAACTTCGGGCATAATAAAATTTCGTTATATCACTGTGAAGTGTTTTTATCTTCGAGATATTTCACATGCTTAAATTGCTCAATGATGACCCAGATTTATTCACCTAGTGCTAAATACCGGGGGTCTATTTCTGACCTTAACTTTTAGAATCACGAAGCATTTGATACATCATTAAAATTAAAACAATGTTTACATTCTTCTAAAGTTGCACAAACTAATGAGTATCTGTGTTCATTTAATGGAGCAACAATAGCAGTTTTTATGAGATTATTTCGTCCATTCCCATAGAATTTTGGCTGTTACATCACGGCGTTACGCCATACCTCTTTAATTCGGACGTATGCTGCCAGTAATGGATTCATGGCCGAAGAAATGTGCGTGTAGACGTGTGTCCATTACACCGTTACGTAGACGTGGTTCAAACGCACACTGAAATATTTAAACGCTCAATTTTTTCCAAAATAGAAAAAACATATATCCATTACCTACATACATTTATGCATTTATTTAAAGTAAAAAAAAATAGAAATGAGCTATTCCAAACTTATATAATATGTATAACGATAAATATCAAACAATCATTATAGTTAGCTAGATCCAGATACAGATACCAAATCATAGACAGGAAGCTAAACACTCGATATGTCGAATACTTTACTGGGTTCTGGTCTCAGGCCAACATGAATGCGGTGAAATATTTGTGGGTTTAAAACTGAAATGAATCGTAATCGAATCCGTAAATTAGTTTAAAATCCTGTCTCTTTTTTTAAAAAGCCTGTTTCTTTCGCCGGTTCTTCTCAGATCAGTGATTTTTTCAGAACGGTAAGTAGTAGTTTGTCAATCAATAAGTAAGTGTAATGTTTCTAAATTGATTAAAGATATATTGATTATAATATGTAACATTCGCGTAAATACTCTTATTAAAAACTTGTACTTATTAAAGTATTTTATTATATTTCCTGAATAATCATATACAATATGTTTACATTTATATTAATAAATGAGTAAACCATCAGGGCGTTTACACAGTCCAGTGTGCGGCGCTATGCGAGTAGAGCGGTCGAATTTTTAAGTGGCGCGTGCGGCCTTGTTGTGAACTTGCCATATCTCTTTATCTGGTTATGCAACGGCATGCGGCAGTCCGTTTGACTATGTATAGGAATTATACAGTCATCTAGCACATAATAAAGTATACTTTTTATGAGGGAAACTGTCAAACGAGTGTGCGTTTCACCTGCTATTTGTGATAACCGCTATTTTTATCCGACTGCGCCAGAAGGAGGGTTATGTTTGTCGAGAGTGTGCATGTATGTATAATTGTTTGACACGCTCTGCAGCCTGAACGGCTTGATGGACGGTTGTCGTTAGATTCGTATTTACTGTAGGAGTGACTTTGAGTGTATCAAAATCATTTCCAAATTAAAGAGAAATGCAGTCGGGTTTTTTTAGTTTTTTAAATTATATCTATTTGTTCATCAAAGTATGTCGCTCAGTGTCCACGCTTTGGCTTTTAATTCATTATACTCATGCAACCCGAGTTCAAATCCTGGTAACAGCGCCAATGAAATCGTCAATTTTAAGTGATGACTTATCACGTGCTCAGCGGTGAAGGGAAACATCGTGAGAAAACCAGCATATTTTCTACATAATAACAAAAAACGTATATTTATAAGATATTTATAAAATATAAAAATTCTGCTAATCCGCAGTGTGATCGCGTAGAGGACTATGCCCTAATACCCTTTGTACGGAGGAAGCCTTTGCCCAGCAGTGGGACGTGTATAGGCTGCTACTTTACTTTTACTTTTCTGTATGCTGCTTCATCGCACTACCTACGCCAGCGACAATAATTCTACCCGTAAAACTATACTTATCAGTAAAACATTAACATTTTTGAACTAAAGTAACGATCTTATAAAAAAGAAAACAGCAAGACTCTAAGCTACTTTTTCCGGGTTACGCGTGCACACACCCTCGCCGCTAAGCATTTTTATATTTCATCTTAAGGGAAGATATTAGCGAAAATTTACTCTCATAATTTTTCCCTAACGCGCCAAAAGAAGTATAACTTCGATAATCCAAGCAAAACAATTCAAATAGTGAAAAGAATTTGGTGCGGTTCACCGCCTCCTAAGAAAGCAAAGTTAATTTTATAAATTTTAAAGTTTTTTTATAGTGCTAATCTCTGCACAAGAAGATAAAGATTAAGATTGAACATTAAAACATGTAGAAAAAGTACGAAATAGTGCGAATGCCGAAGACGTGGGTTCGATTCCTACAGCGGTGACAATCTTTTCGTACTTTTTCTACATGTTTTAAAGTTAATTTTGTTGGCCGGATAGGCGATGGCATCAATTCTTTCGGATGCTGACGGTTTCATCATGGTATATTAGTTATTTATACTGATGAATCCTGAGTACTCGAGGAGTTGTGGGGCAAATTCGTTTTTGCTCGCCTGCAAGCAACCATCTGGGAAGACACCATAGACATTGAAAGTTTATTGACTTTTTTTATGGAAAAAGGAAGCAAACGGGCAAGCGGGTGACCTAATGGAATACGATCACCTCCGCACAATTGCGTTGCCGGCTTTAAGGTTGTGGACAGTCGACAGTCAATCTCCAGGAATATGAGATAATTCAATTTTATCCAATGTTTCCTTCAGTCGCAGACATTGAGTCTAGCCGGTGTCAAGATAATCTTGGATGCTAAAGGGTCCCAGATGCCCCAATCACTAGACAAAACGCAAAAGCATAATACTTCCTCCTCACACTTATCGTGGGGTTGTTGTTCTAACCCGGATGAGCCTGCCTGTTCTTGCAACAACGGAACCCGCTGTATTATTTATGTTTTTTTTTCATGTGAAAAGTTGCGAAGCCAGCAGACGGTTCACCTGATGTTAAGTGTATAACGCCGCCAATGGACATCTGCTACACCCGAGGGTTACAGATGGCCGGAGTCCAATTTTCAAAAGATTCAAAACCTTTTGAAAATTGGACTCCGGCCATCTCACTCACCAGACGAAACGCGAAACTATTATACTTCCACTGTACACTGGTCTTCAGTGAGGTCGTGGTACTTACCCGGACGAGCCTGCCCATTCGTGCAACAGCCGAGGCGTGGCCCTACCACCGATATGGGTGGCCCTACCACAGCAAATATTAAATACTTTAACACTCAACACTGATCCTCTGTCGCAGGACAAGTTCACGCCAGATAACGCTGTCCACGAGTCCACAGTGGGTCCAGTTCGGGGCTACTACAACTTCGTAGATGCCAGCGGGAACCAGCGCACCATTCACTACAACGGTGATGACAAGAGCGGCGCCCAAGCTATCAAACGGCACCAGGGCATCAATCACTAACGACATTTGACTTCGGACTATTCTAGCATTATCGTGGATATTTCCAAACGTTCGAGGCATAATGTCGTTTTGTCTGCTTGTCTCGTTTATATAAAACATAGATAAAGTGATAGTGTTCACTAGCCTTTAGTGTTTTCACGGATAAAGACTAATCGCAATCTTAAATGGTCAAGTTACTGACTGATCTATTACTACGATGCCGAAGTAGCTCAGTGGGTTAATTCGCTATACTTGGAGGTTATACCGATTTTCCTCCAGCCCAAACGAACAACAGCAGAAACTGCTGCGTAGATCCATAATCCATACTAAATGCGAAAGTAACTCTGTCTGTCTGTCTCGCTTTCACGCCAAAACCACTGAACTGAATTAAATAAAATTTGGTACACAGATAGTCTAGAGCCTGAGAACATATGCTATTTTTTTATTGAAAAAAAAAAGGGTGGAAATTATCTTTCTTTATAAAATATACATGTTTTTTAAAGAAAGATGTTTATTTAAGGGCTTCAACGCGAGCGAAGCCGCGGGTGAAAAGCTGGTATTGTTATATATGAAACATTATCACCACAAAACCATCACTTGATCAAATATCCAAGGAAACAACTTGCTCACCAAAAATAGATAATTATTATAAAATAAATTAAGATACTTTAATTGTGACTAGAATACTGTGAATCTTTGTGTATACATATTGCCTCTTTTAATAATTATGTACCAGAAATGTACACAAAGATTTATAGAATTTCGTAGAATCCAGCCTAATGAATCGCTAAATCTATAACCATTCTTGATGAACATTTACTAGTCTATTAGTCTTTCTCCGTGAATAAATACAGTCGTTTTTGTACCAACGGTAGTTGTAATTCTTTTGAATTGTGTTATTTATTTTTCAGTCTTCTGGTCTATTTTTAAAACTACATTTAAATATATTTCGTCGGTACATAACATACAGCTTTTCATGTGATTTGTATTAATAAAATTCGCATGAGGACATCAGATCTGTATGGAACGTGTATATTATATTATGTTTCCTGTCATTTCATAAGGAACTTATGTAAATGTGCCAAATTTGTAATCAATACATTACTATGAGTTGTTCCGAAAAATTGTTTTCATTTTGCATACGTATTTTTAAAGTACTCGTAACAGTGATGAAATTGTTTTAACTTTTTCCAGCCACATTGTCTCTATATTGAAATAAGTTTTTTTTAAAGTACCCGCTTTGATACAATTTTTTTTATAATAAAGTGTAAAATATACTCTACATGCTAATATCTATAATGCTCTGTACTTTGTTTACTTTCTAGGCATTCGATCAGCGTGTTAAATGTTTATACGAAAGTATCAGCACAAACCTACCACCGAAATATAAACAATCCACTTTTACTTTTCACTCTTGAACATTTTATAATAAAAGTAAAAGAAAAGTTTAAGAAATGCTTGAAGTATTTATTTTATCCCTAGAGTTAAGTTAGTTCGCACAAATAATTGTCCCGTGTGGGTATCAAACCAACGACCCCCGGTGCCAAAACTAACGGCTAACCAATGCGCCACTCAGTTATATGTAATTAGCAAATAAGCATACTATTTCATAGAAATTAAGAGTGGGTATCGATTCCGACAGCGGCGACAATATTTTCGTATTTACATATTTTAATACTATTTCATAATTTCTTGAATGATTTTATTTATTTTATTTTAGAATTTTAGGGAAACTAACAGCTAGCACATAAGTAAAGTATGTAAGGGGATTTTCATTTCACGAACAAGGCCTTTTTTTTGGTATCGGGGGGGAAATCTTCAGAATATACCCTGTCATCTTACATGACAGGGTTATGTTGGGTAAGAACCCAACATAACCCTCATAATACTCGGTGGCCACCTTCTGTACGTTTCGAGGAACCCCGGGATCTCCTATGGAACGCAACGGTGTCCCTCGGTACTACGCCTGAGCACGCGTCGGAGAAGGGTAAACCTTTTCCCGATTTCCTCGCCATCTTACAGCAGCTCGAGGCCACTTCGAGCTGCTGCCAATCCTGTCCTCTTTTAGTCGTCTTTCACGACAGATAGGAGATACCTTAGTCCTATTCTATGAGCCTGGAACTACAGGGTTGTCACGAATAAGGCCTAAGCCCACTGGGTCTCATGATGTAAAGTAAAAAAAAAGTAAAGTAACAGCCTATACATGTCCCACTGCTGGGCAAAGGCCTCCTCTATAGAGAGCATAGTCCACCACGCAACCCCACTGCGGATTGGCGGACTTCACATATCTTCGAAATATTTTTTTTTGTTATTATTTCGAAAATATACAGGTTTCCTCACGATGTTTTCCTTCACCGCGGAGCACGTGATAAGTCAGCACTTAAAGTCAAAGACTTCATTGGTGCCGGCACCGGGGATCGAACTCAGGTTGCTCGAGTATATTGAATTAAAGGCGAGCGCCCGGACACTGAGCTATCACGGCTGATGTACGAGTACACAAATCATAACACTGTCTTCTTCTCTGGGGATCAAAACGCACTTTGAAAGGCCTCCGAGGGCATGTGGTGAGCTCAAGCCAAATAACACTATAATACCCCGTCGTTTAGGCAGTACTAGAAGTGGAACCGCTTTAGGGACTCCTCAAGTGTAAACATCCAAGAATGACGATATTTACTTCAGCTGAACCGCCTGTTCTCTTGTCAACTCCTTTTGTAACAAATTTTACTGTGGTAGTGCCATGCAACAGTCTACGTTGACATTGAGCAGTCCCTACATTATCTGTTCGTCCACGGGAATATTATTACTACACGGTGGTTATTACTTAACATCAGGTGAACCGCTAGCTTCGCTTGCCACGTTCTCACATAAAAAAAATATAAAAAAGTGTATTTTCCTCCAAAAATAAGTGTGAACATGTGACCTAGTAGTATAGAACTATATAAATGTCAAATGTCACAGACGTTAAATAATACTGAGGAAGGTGATGAAAGTTCACATTGTTCGTCCAGTGTTGATTGATGACACTACCCATATAGCTAACTAAATACAACTCTTTGTATTTAGACTTTTTTAAGAGCTAGGCGAAACCACAACGTAGCTCACGTTGAAGTCAGAAGGTGCACCCGCCTTTCTAGCTGTTCCCAGCTTACGATTAGGCAGTAAGCGATCGTCATAGTTGTAATTCCAATTGTAAATTTTTTGCAATCCAAAAATTTCCAAAACTTCTTAGAAAAACCATTAAAACGAGCAAAACTTAAGTAAGTTTAAGATAAAAATGCACGTATCTTATGCACAATTTTTACATTTCGGACTATAAATAACACCAAAGTATAAGATCCAGTATAAAGATGTAATAATATATAATGTAAAGAAAGATTTGTTATTTGATTTGTACGCTCATACAAAGATCATCATCAGAAGAAATAAGAAATAAGATAAATAAATATATAATAGAAATAAGCGGCATAATGATCACTGTAGCGCCTTACAAAGTATTTATAGCAATCACTCTTATTCTAAAAAAAATTTTAAAATATTTAAAAATATTCTGTTATAGCATACCTTTTGAAAGGCTTTGTTTTTATTTTAAAAAAAATCAAATTTGTTTAACATATTCGCGAAGAGATCGTACTCATCGCGGATATAACGTTTTTTGTAAAATTTACTTAAATATCTGCATGGTCATTGTTTGAGGAAAGTTGTTTGGTATCTCATTGCGTTTATTATTATATATATTAGCAAGCCTTAAAACTGAGCGCCTTGCTACTTAGAGAGAAAAGAAAATAACATATTCATTTAACCTAAAACAACATGTTGTAATTGTATGCATGTAATTGTAACTAAAACTTACGCAGCCTTCATTCATATCGAGCAGTTACGAAAGCATAGCATTTTAACTTATTGAATAAAACTTAATTTATTTATTAATTTGGGTCCAGAAGCATTCAATATCAACTTATATAATGCATAATGATGATAAACTCGCTGCTACTAACAAGCTAAAAGTAGGTTAGAAGATGCTGGTAGAGACAAAAGATATGTACATATGGAATTATTTAATATTTCTAATTAGGCGCTAACTTATCTACCTTACCTTACTCGCCGAATCACTTTCAAAATAAACAGAAAAGAGGACAGGTTGAAAAAGATATAAATGAAGTAAACAAATTACAATATATCAAAATATGTAGAAAAAGTACGAAAAGATTGTCGCCGCTGTGGGAATCTAACCCACGTCTTCGGCATACGCGGCCTGACGCTCTAGCCACTGGGCTAAACGGCTTTTCGTACTTTTTCTAAAAATTTTAAATTTCTATAAATTTCAATCTTAAGTGCAGAGATTAGCACTATAAAAAATTTAAATTACAATATAGACATAAAAAAATCATATCGATCTTAGCGATCACCCAAACGCGATCGTGACCAAATCGTTTAAGCCAACAAAGGGCTTGGTTTAAATACTGGGGCTTTGCGGCTACCGTAAGATTAGCTTTTGTATTGTCCGTACGATACCCGTTTTTTACGGGTCTGCAGCGAGCGACCCGTATCTGGGCTCATCTCTTAAACCGTTTAACTTGCTATTTACACGGATGATCGCATTAAAGAACGATTCATTGTAACCAAACTCCTTCTATAAATTTAACAGCCGTCACAAGCACCCAAATCTTCGACTTGCGTGTTAGAAAGATGCGTTTTCATTAAAGTTCTTAAGGTATAGTTTAATAAAAAGATTGCTTTTTACGCACTTTACGAATTTAACGCTTGGAGCGTCTGTTGTTATTTCCTTCGCAGCACACAAAAAGTTTCAAATGAAGTTTTACAACGATAATTCGAACGAGAGATGTCGCCTTCGCTATTTGTATATTAAGTTATTATAGTGCAAATCTATGCACTTAAGATAAAAGGTTCAAATTTGTGGAAAAACGGACGAAATGTTTTTCGGCTCCGCGGGAATATTGCGTATTAATCGTCAACACAATTGCCATCAACTCTTAAAAAGAAGAAACAATAAGGAACAA